TCGAGCCTATAGGCTGAAAAATTCATTAGGATCCACATAAATTTCTTTTATGAATCTAACGCTCTTAAGGTTTTAATAAACTCTTAGTCAAAGCAAAAGAATCATCTGATTTTCTAGTGGGTTATAAGGAAAAATGTTGGAATATTAATAAGGATAGTAATTGGATATCAAATTTGAATAAGTGCCTAAACTATTTTTTTAAGTAATTATAGTCTTTATGAAATTGATTGAAATAATTAAGTTAGAAATTGATTTTAGGTCTAAAATATGAAAATAATAATTTGATTCAATGTAAAATATCAAAAATGTATTATGTTGATTATTATTAGTCGATCGAAAATTTGAAAAGCAGAACAAAAAGTGTTAATAAAAGAAAAATGTAAATTCTTTATTTATTTATTTATAATAATAATAAATAAATTTAATAATTCTCATTATTCTTGATATCTTCTGATTTGTATTTACATTGAGTTGTTATCCCATGTGATTAAATACTCTCCATCATCACTCATTCCTCCAAATAATGAATTTGTATTAAAATGAATGGATTATTGAGTTACAAATTGTCCATTTAATGTTTTCCTTATCAAATTCACATATTAGCCATTCTTACTCACAAGGATACATTTTGAATGTATATATTATTAAGGAAATAAACAATTACTATCTGATCCACATTTTACATTAATATCTGTAGTCTTTGTAAACTATTGATTTATCTTGTTCATCTCAAAAATAGATATCAATTCATAGTTTCTTTGTGATAATGTGAACATATTATTATCAATAAAACATACTCTCCATGCAATTTATTCAACTGTAATCTTTTATATAACAATCCATTCTTTATTCTATCCTTATTATTCCATTATTAATACTAATTTATCTTAACCACAAGAGACAACTCTATTTTATTATTAATTAAAACTCAATCCGTATACATGATGAGAATGATCTTAAATTGTTTACTAACATGACCATTCATTCTTTTTCATCCAAAATCTAATTGTATTATCCTTAGATCCTGATACAATTAAATCTTCATTGTTATTTAATATTAAACAATAGACCCAATCATCATGTCCATTTAATATGTATTAGGAAGTCCATTAATTATTTTAATTTTATTACCATATAATCATAGAATTATCACAACTCCCAGATATAAACTAATTTGATTTCTTCATAATGTTTAGAGTAAATACCCTATTCTGATGTTCACTTAAAATTTAAGTTTGTTTGGTCATTCCTTACTTGAATTCAAATACTTTAATTTGTTTATCACATCCAGCCAATAATGTTGAACAATCTTTATTAATAGCTATTGCAAAACAGCATTCATTTTATGAAATTGAATATTGTGAAATTAGTTGATAATTGAATGGTTTGATGTTTGATTGATTAGTAAGTGATTGTATCTCTTAATTTGTTTATGTTTGATTTAATAATTGATCTTTGAGTTTAATTTAATTGTTAAAAGTATATATGATTAATGGTTATATATCTTAATATAATTATTAACTAAAGTTTGATTTCTCAAATTTATTCTAAGGTTAGTCAAAGATAGGTACACAAGCTTCATTTTTCAAGGTCTTACTATTTAATGAATCACAACTAATATTAAGAATTGAATCTAAATAAGAGTCAATTTTGTTGAATGAAGTCTAGTTATTTGATTAATATTACTTCTATTTCATTTTATACCACTTCAAAGCATTCAATTATCTTTTATTAATAAACATCACTTGTTAGACTAATGTATTTATTCATTTCTCTATTCATTTTTATATATTTATTAAAAACAAAAACAATTATTTATATATTTTCTATTAGCACTACAAATTAAATTAATTCATATTGAATTTTAACAATTATTATATTCCTCAATATACTTAAACTAATTTGAAGATAGCTTCCTTTGCGATTTTGATGTATTAAATCAAAATAATTAACACATGTTATTAAGTGATTTATAAAGATGAATTATAATCTAAATAAATTGATTTCAAAATTAAAAATGATCACAAATGGAATCGATAAATTAAGATTGAATAACCTCAATATATCAACTTCCTTAATAATTCAATTTTAATCAATTCCTTTGTTCGGAAATCTAAATAGTTAATATTTTAATTTAATATTTTATTTCATAAAATTTCTAAAATAATTCTTTATTAAACAATAGAAAAAGATGCCTTGGTAGTTATTAAAATACTGTAAAATTTATTTCCTATTTGTTAGGATTTACAGCGTTAATTTTTTCAAATGACATATAAAAGTCATATCAGCACAAGTGTTGAGAATCTAAGATTCCACTTTATTATAATTTAATTCAATTATTCTAAATAATTTTAATCTTTATGTAATTCTCTTCACAAAAAATCAATAATCTATTGAAAAATAATGCAAAAAAAGATAGCCAAGCATTTACTTTAATTGAAAATAAAATCTCGTCGATAAGAAAGAATAAGTATTGTGATCTTAATCACATCTAATAACGTAGATCATAATACTTCACTCCAAATTAATATTTCTCAACATTGTAATACATGAATTATAAATAGAGAATGAGAAGGTAGATGGCTTGTTGCTATGGCGTATTAGATTCCCTCAAAATATGGCATAGCTAATTCGCAAGCCTTTAATCTTATCAATTCAAGCCTCAACTATAAATTAGGATTTTTTAATAGCCTTGTTTGACTATTGCCCTTGGCAATCACACAATTTAGAAAGCTTTCGCTAATATAATAATAACCAACAGGTTAATTTGGCACTAATACTTTTAGTTTGCCAATTCATAATGATAAATAATGGTCCTTTTGAGCATATATAACCTCTCAATAATAAAATGAGTTGATGTCGAAGCTAAAAAATAAAATCTCTCAAAAGAATGCGATTGGTCAAATGAAAGTAAAGAACTTAGTATTAAACCTTCAAGGATATTTTGATAGCTAGAATGGTTTCAAGGGCTGGAATTTATTTGATTAATAGCAATCTGTACTAATTTTTTATGTGTTACAGCATTAAAGCTTCAATGTTCTTCTAGTAGATATCATAATCTGTTCCTTTTTCCACAACATAAAAACAGCAATTTTTAAATGTATGTTTAGAATGCATTTTCGTTTTCCTTTATTGATCAACTTGCTGTGAAAAATATGATTTTCTTATATGTTTTTTATATTTTTGTATGATAGGCTCTCAGAATTCCTAAATTTTCCTAATGGGGATGCTCCTTTGTTTAGCATTAAGAGTTTATTATA